TAAATAACCGAGTAATACTATCTGATTAGGCAATAATATATTTACTTAATTTCGTAACTTTATACGGATCCATTCACCACACAGCTATTTCGTTTTAAATTTTGACCGGTTAGGAGTATGAGTGTCTGGATTATTCTTTATAGTTACCGTTTTATTTTAAAATAAGCAAACGGTACTCTGACCCAAATTTGTTTCGCTATTCGACGGCAGAGTGAATTGTATAAAATGTATCATGAAGTGGTGTTCATTTGTTCAACTTGTAATGCAAGTGGGAATAGGTAAAATGTCTCTTTATTAATATTTCTTCAGATACTCTTTGTTCATAACAGTTATTATTGATATTTGTCTCCCTGATCATTTTGTACTGTTTACTTGGACAATGAGAGAGTTAACGGACTATGGGAAGTTGACCACACTAGAAAGTAATAAAATTTCAAAGATATCAATTTACTACTCATTTTTAAGTAATTTCAAGATTTCGATCACCTGTTTCTAAACGGCTGTACATAGACACTAATTTAGTAAAGCTTTATTGGCTTAAAATTAACGTCTTGAGTACATAAAATTCAGATTTGTTTGTCCGCCTGAACAACTATCGTAATTAGGCTTCACTTAGACACTTACTTCAAGCACTGATACAGGTTTATATGTCTACTAACCTGCCGGATACGTACGGTTATTTCGGTTTCCATTTTTATAGGTAGGGATATCTGCCAAGTGTCGGTTGGAAGAACCAGTCGATAAACTGTTTAACTTCAACTGAGAGTGGCTTACATCCGTAAAATGAAACTCTATGGTGACATTGGATCTCAACCACACAATCCTCGAGACCGAACATGAGATAACTGAGAGAATTCACATTCAGTATTCAATACCAAAGAGAAGGTCAAAACTGATGAACGCAAGAACAATCAGTCTGTATGGCGTGACTCAGCTGTGAAGGCTTGATAACTATGTGACTCGTTCCTTTTAATATTAAATGTATTATTCTATCGATAGAGTGAATGTGTTTTTCAGAAGTGCTAAACATCATATTACAGACTATCAAGATAGGACGAGTCATTGTAGACTATGATGTGAATTCCACGTAACACCTTGTGAATTAGGTAGTCACATGATGACAAATCTACATTTGTGGAATAGTTCTGTTCTTCTAGTAGCATATATAAGTGTGCTGATATTGACATAGGCCATAATTCAACAACGCCACATGCATTTAAACTAGCCTACTCCTATCATTGACATTGATACGTCTGCATCAACAAAAATACGACGAATAGGTTTGCGTAAACTAGGGTTAATCAAGTGAAACGCACCGTTTGTCCAAAATGGCTATCGGCTTCCAGATTTCCGCCTGTAAACTAAAGACAAGATCTTGCAGATGGTCACCAGACACTCAAAAGAAGGCAAACTTATGCTATAGTGCCAATAAGATAGCGGACTCTCGTCATCATATTGATGACGTATGAACGACAATTATATCCAGGCTTAAGAAAATGCAATGTTTCTGGCAATTTTTGGAAGGCTTACCACAAGTTTTGTGGTACCAACGCCAGCTAGGGCTTTCTGTTTCTTACGGTCTACAAACAGATCTTTATTGTGGTAGGGTTCTTTGATTAGTTTTTGATCGTCTCTGATCATGGTGAGAGAAAAGAAAACGAGTGATAGTGTTACAGAGATCTGTAATTTTGCTTCGTATCAACTGAGGCTTTTCTTTGACAGAACAAACCTTCATGTTGGGAGTTGTTCAGATCTCTGAAATCCTATCGACAAGTGTATCTAGTTCATCTACAGCGTTATTTTGGAATGTGACAAGAACCTCTTACACTAATTGTCCAGCTTATATAAAAGGAGCCATCTGAAAAAGTATGCGTCAGATTTTGTTGATCAATAACCGCTCTCATCAGTAGCGACACTTCTGTTCCTGAGAGGTGTTGCAATTCGATATTGTGGAAGAGTTTATCTAACCTTTATCAATCGGTTAGGCCCACACTCTTAAGAACGACCTTTTTCGGAGTATGAAGTTCGGAGACATCGCTAGCGAGCATACCTGGTGTAACATGCCTATGAACTTGTAAAATAATTCCTTCACTACGGTAGGGGATCGTACCCATGATGATCAGCTTCTGTATCACAGAACCAGGCTTTGATATTGGCGGACCAGAATGACGTAAGTTGAAAAGTGAGGACGAGGGAGTCTTAATCTTTAATGGTCGGGGGGTGGGCATAATAAGCATAGAGTATCTAAATATACGAAAAATTCGAAAATGCAAGGTCATGTCAAAGTATGTAAAATACATTATTATTTTAGTATCTCAGGATCGGACTGCAATTGGATTGTATGCTGACTGTCATCGAAATACACATGTCGGTTATCCTCGTATACTTCATAGACTTAAATCGTGTTGGTGAATAACGGAATCAAATAAGTCAAATGTGAAAATGAATTTTTGAATACATATATTTTTTACATTCACTGATCTGGACCGGGAAGGAGAGGGATGAGGCGAATAGAAGTGAGCGATGCGAAATGATGCACGGTGGAAGTGTGTGAGCCAACCGACGTTACAATAAATATATATCACTTGGACAAGGAACAGACACACAGTTCATCCTTTGAGGTACCAGATCACGTAGGGCTCATCAATAAAAATGTCGAAGGTATCCAGGGCTTGACATATTTGTCATCTGCAACATCTTTAAAGTCGAGGATCCTAAAGCCAGTCAAACCAGAATTCAGTTATGAAGGAGTCCGGAGATAAATCTTGGTGGTCGATGAGCTGAGAAGTTTAGGGGCTTAGCTGACTAGTTGTTGTGGGCTTTGAGGAGTACAGAGTACTCAATCTTTCACGATTCCTTTCATCTCGGTAAATTATTGATACGTTCCACCATTAAGCTATATTAAGGAGGAGAATTACTCAAGACAAAGTAAGAAAGAGATCAGATAAAAATTGCTGCGAAATCTAGACGCTGGCGAAAAAGACCTGAAAATAGTAAATTTTCGGAATGTGAGGCTTCGACAGAGGATGATGCCGAGGCCATTCTGTGTGAAGCACGAGACCATTTAAATAGGCTTCGGATCTGTTATACCAATGCACGGAGCTTGCTCAACAAACTATCGGAATTAGGCGTACAGATTGACTCTACAAAGCCAGACATAATCGCAATCACAGAAACTTGTCTGACGCAGTCTATAGATAGTACGGAACTTGATTTCGCGGGTTTTGCATTAGTAAGGGCCGATAGAGTACAAAAGCGTAAAGGAGGGAGAGTGGCTCTATTTATTGAGAATGATATCCCATTCACCATTATCGACAGTGTATCCCATGAAAGTGGGACGTATGAATTAGTTGGCTGTGAGGTAAATAAGGTCCTGCTAAGCAGTCTCAACACATGGTCACGAAGTGATCGATGTCTAATCCTAGAGGACTTTAATACACCCATGGTGGACTGGGGAAATCTGCGGACTGAATCGTCAGATAATTCCTTCCAACAGGAACTAGTTGATGCGGTTATCACATGTGCCCTGGTGCAAAACGTGAAGGAAGCAACTAGGTACGACCCGGGCTCTGCATCATCCTTACTAGATCTTATATTGACTCACTATGAGGATGATGTGAAAGCTAGTGCGCTCTTAAAGACCAAAAATTACCTATAGACGTAGCTTACATCGATTTCAGCAAAGCTTTCGACAAAGTTCCGCATAACCGGCTGTTATATAAGCTAAGGAATGTCGGGATTGGAGGCAATCTATTGATGTGGATAAAAGACTCCCTAGTTGGGCGTCAACAAAGAGTAAGGGTGAACTCCAAGTTGTCTAGCTGGGAAACTGTGCTTAGTGGAGTCCCCCAGGGTACAGTTTTGGGGCCAGTGTTATTCCTCCTGTACGTAAATGACCTCCCTCGTCTACTATCGTCATCGGTCTTACTCTATGCTGATGATGTCAAGATATGGAAAGCGATACAAAGCAAGGGCGATAGCTTAGAACTCCAAAATGACCTGGAGAGATTATCTGAATGGTCCCAAACCTGGCAGTTGAGGATAAATACTTCCAAGTGTATTGTGATGCATATCGGTCATCAAGGTACAGATAAGTACACGATGAATAACACTCAACTACCTATTGTCCAGGCACACAATGACTTAGGAGTCGTAGTTAGTCAAAACTTAAAAACTACTGCACACTGCCGTGCAATAGCCGCCAAAAGTTTTAGAACTTTATGGTTCATACGCAGGGCTTTTAGGGATCTCGACGCTAAAACGTTTCTGACTTTGTATACAGTGTTCGTGCGCCCTAAACTTGAGTACTGAATACAAGCAGCTAGCCCCTGCCTAAAAAAGACAGTGAACTCTTAGAAAGGGTTCAGAGAACAGCAACTAGGCTGATTCCCGGAATAGCGAAGCTCCCGTATGGTACTAGACTGACAAAGCTAAACCTATTCCCGCTGTCATACAGAAGAATTAGAGGCGACTTGATTCCAGTTTTCAAATTGCTTAGTAGTAAATTTTCACCCTACATGCCCTCATTTTTCTTGTCCACCAAAACAGGAAATTTATGAGGACACTCCAAAAAAGTTCACAAGCCCCGAACGAATTACTTGTCAGCTGACTACCGACTTTCCCATCGAATAATCAACGAGTGGAATTCGTTACCTCAGCACGTGGTTGAGGCTCCATCCGTCGACTCCTTCAAAAGGAAGCTGGATCAGCTGAGAGACCATCATTGCCAGGACTAACACAGGCCATCAAACCTCCTGTCCTTTCCAAACTGAAACTGAAACTGAAATAAAATATATAATAAAAATAAGCGCTGATCGGGATTGATCTAGGTTTCACCCCTAGATCACTTCCACTAGAAACTAAATCATTTTTCGGGAGGAATGTAGAACAGACCTTACCTTTGTATTACTAGAAACGCTATCATTCTAAGCAGACATAGATTTGAAGAAACAAACAATTCGATAAGTCTGCTCAACTACTTTCAAAGTACAATTACATGTGGGGACTCTTTAAGAATCACGTATAACAATTTATGACTTTTAAAAGCGAATTCTCGGTAAAAGCCTGTATTTATTCATAAAGGAAATACTTAGTTATAGCCTTTCAATTTCTTGTTTAAATTTGTCGTGTTCAGATCTCATTGTTGGGGTCAGTCGTCTTGTTGCTGAGTTTCACGCTAGCGTTTGAGGATGGTAGGTTATTTCATTTGCTTTCATTCGGTTTGTTCACGAGTGGGTCTGGCTAAGGGCTTTAAACTCTTTTCAATCGTTATTTTAGATGCCAGTTACCTTATTCAATGCGGTCCTCAGACCCACACTTATGAATGTCATGAAGACTTCAACTGTCAAACTCTCTCCTGCAGCTGTTTCCTGTATTTTCCCCACGAGCCAATTCCATACGTCTTCTATCCGAAAAGATATTGATCAAGCAGCCAAATACATTGGTGCTGGTGCGGCTACTGTTGGATGTGCTGGATCAGGTGCTGGTATTGGATCTGTATTTGGAAGTTTGACTTTGGCATACGCCAGAAATCCTGGCCTGAAACAGCAACTGTTTACCTACGCTATCCTTGGTTTCGCTCTGAGTGAAGCAATGGGTCTGTTTTGTCTAGTGATGGCTTTCCTCATTTTATATGTTTTCTGAGGATACCTATGTCCTCATGTACCTAGGCCTGTTTTCCATCCCAACCACATTGCTGGTCCGAATATGGATGTAAGTCCATTGTGCAGATAATAGACACTCTTAATACTAGCAAAATAAATTGTTATAGACTTGTTCTTTTTTGTTATGTACTCCATTGGACCGTACTAGTACCTCGTCATGTTGATTTATATAGAAGTGATAGGAAACTAGTAATTACTGTGTCTCTGTTAGTTTTCGTTTGTTGAAATATGCCCCATTTGGCTGGGGGTCTTTTATCGTTAGTGGTCAAAGCTTTCGTCTTACAATTGTTTGTTCTACGTTGCAACTGACTGACAATTAGTTGTATAACAAATTACTTGTGTGGTTTCTCCATAGATGTGTTCGATGTGTAGAGACTCAAAGTCAGTTTCCGCGTTCCCTTCCGGGTACTCAGGATGAATGACCCTTTTTTCATGCAGGCAACGTCGCAAAAGGACGAAACCACTGCAGGTAGTCCGATTTCAACCACGTGATTTACCCTATTCGAAGGGACTAGAGTTTCAACACGCAGATTTGTCTCGAGGTGTTCGCGTCCTGGTGATTTGTTAAAATCGTTTTTGGTTAGCTGGGTCTTCGTGTCATCAGATGATTACATATATCGGGTACCCAAGCGTGTCGTATTTTTGAGCAATCTATAAGACTTCGGCGGTTGTTTGATGCTCATTGCATCAGGGCTCATCAATTTCTTTGTGATGACACTATTTTTAGGCAGATTTTAAGTATAGTCCCAGTTTGTTCGTCAGCAGTAACATTCCCAGGCAACTATATTCATTTCTAACCATGATATGTAACCACTTATGTGTTGATTTTGTCTGAACTTGCCACGAATAAAGTGGTTTTAAATAAAGACAGAACAAATATTGACGCAGAATAATATGAATTAATTATATTTCGTGGTTTCTCACCAGCTGCTGAATTCATATTATTCTGCATCAATATTTGTTCTGTCTTTATCTAAATTCATAAAGGGAACTAACTGCACAAAGTAATTTTATTGTTCAAACGGAACGAGAACTGGCGATGATCCAATTTTTCTCAACTAACCTTTGCGAATAGCAGATTATAAATTTCGATATGCTTTCAGTAGTTCAGTATTATTTCTAGTTGCTTTGTTGCTTCGATTTTAAAGTATCTCGGATTTGTTACTCTATATAACTAGTGTAGTGATACTGTTATTCGCGTGGTATTTATCATAGGAGCAAGGGTTTGGTTTGATGCATATTCCCATTAAAAATTAATCTCACCTTGCATACTCGATGAAGCCTTATTTTCATCTGTACGTCACACTGAAGAATGGTGTATTTTATGAGCTCTGTTTTTTGAAGAAATATGTCCGCACTGACGTTTGTCCATTCAAACAGCTAAGTAATTAATAGCTAAAATGTATCCTCATGCTTGGACTAACCACTAAGTTATTTTCGCTTTCATTAAATATCAAAAGACAACAATCAAGACTTGTACTTCAAATGAGCGGTTCAATAGTAGATTGGAGTACGATGGTTAGAGTAGATTAACTTCTAAAGTAGTACACTATACGCTCTATTGATTTATAGAATTAGGGTTTATGGTTTCCACAATGTGACTTGAAGTCAATCTGGACAAATTAAAACTCAATTATCTTAACAATGATAGAGAAGTGAATATCATGTGTATTTATCAGTTTTTTTCAAAGTTAATCGAAATAAACAACTGTTTTGAACCAAATTAAAAGCATCAACTATGTGGTTGGACGTATGGCTTCTAACCATTAGAACACGGATTCGAACTCCGCCTCATCTAACTAGCTTAAGTGTCCGGTAGTGTTACTAGCTTTCAGTTATAAATTGTTAGAGTACGTTAACTTATGTTTGGTAAGTGATCTACAGGTCGCATGAAGTTAGGAAATCTATATTGTTTTGAGAATGATGTGCTTCGAAAGTAAATTTGAAGAAGTGGCAGATATTCTGTTTTGATACATATCAGTTCTAGTAATGAATTCCAAAAAATATAGATCACTGCCATCCTTTAATTAGTATCTTATCGAGTATATCTGAAGAATCCGATATATTACAAGCTACTCAATCAACATCAAATAACTAATGGATCAGTTACTTTCTCCAGTAAATTGACGCAAAAAGTATCAATGCGAAAGTAAAAAAATGGTCAGACATACAAGACAGCAATTACGGGGTTTATATTCCCTACGTCCATTCGCTAATATGATTAAGTCTTGGAGTCATGCAGTACTGTAAATCGATTGAAGTTGAAATTTTGGACTTTCATATCGAACTCAGTAGCTCAAATGGCATTATACTCACCATGAAACCTGTCCTACATTCAGTCTTACATGGGATTGTGGGTGTTTACCTGTTAAGGAAATACATACTAGGACGGAACATTTGTCGATTGTCCTCTTGTTTTTCAACTGATGGTATTGTGTCAGAAACTATGAACGGTGTACGTAATCAAATGCGAATCCCAGGGTTGTTAAGTATTGTACTTGAGTTTAGGATATTTGTAACAAAATGGGGTTGGTATAGTGTTCATGAATCTGTGTTGACTTTAAGTAAATGGATATTGAAGAAATAATAAGCAGTCTTTGGAAGGAACCACAATAAAACCAATTTTCTATGAGATTGTACTGCTTTAGTCGGGGATTCACAGCCGTTAAATTCAGTTCACTGAACTCCTAGACCACCAAGTATTAGTAAATTAACAGCGAATGGAAAAGTTAACAATCATACCGGCATTACGACACCTTGTGCTCCCCCCCAAACACTGTCCATGTACAAATAATCACGGTAGAAAATATTACTAGGTTCGTATAGTTTTTATAGGCGAATAATATTAAAAACTTATTATCTGGCCGAATTCTTATCCGTTGCATCATCGATGAAAAAGCCAAATATATAATAAGTAGATGTGTGAACTAAATATTTCTGGGAAATTAGATCTAATTATTACTTAGTAACTGTAAAATAATCAACTTCAAATATCCATCATTTTAAAAAAGCTAGAGGCTTTCATCTTGCAAAAAGACAAACCTTGTGTATTCTAGAAGCTTAATGGGAGTTTGTGTGTGTATTTACAACCAACAATACTAATTGATTGCGAGCGTTTCTTTCTTTTGCTTTATATCGGCTAGAAAAAAATTATTGAATTTCATGCTAAAATTTGGTCTCTCTTCACTAGGCAAGAGAATTTTTTCTGGATAGAAGTGGGATACGTTTATTGGCCTGTTTTTACGTTCTCTTTTGTGAAGGGAGAAATTCGACAAATGTCTAGTGTATATTTTATGGTCAAAGGAAGAACTTTTCTCTTATTCATTGATCTTTCTTGTTTCCACAAATCAATAATTATAAGTTTACTAATCAACTACATAGAAAACAAACAAAAAATACAGCATGAATGTTTCTGTTAAATGTCCCATTATGTATAATGTCTGTTTTCCAAAAATCAAGTGAAATTGTGGTTTATAACTACATACACGGGAATTCATAGTATCCTTGGGAGAACCTTCTGTTTATAACATCAAGAAAGCAGGATTTGATGGGGCCCAAAATATCCAATTAACCATGAGAGGGATAAAGATTTTGATATAATGCTACTGTGATGTGTCACTACTATTTGACACTCGAGAGTGTAAAAAAAAGATTTTGTAAATCAGGAATAATGCGCATTGTAAAATGACGTGAACTCTGTTCATTTTACATGCTCTAGATCTACATACACACTGAATTGTGTCAATAAAGTGTTTTACAAACGCAATGTGGTGTGTAAAATAAAGTCATTTGATTCAATTTACCATGTGTCATGAGACTTAAAACTTAAGGACAAGACTTCCACTTGTCTGGTTGAACTGATATCAGAAAAATGCATAACCTACGTGTGTTAAAAATGAATAGCAAAATGAGAGTTACCAGGACCTTGGTAAGTTAAGGGATTTGACATACTGCTTCTGAACATAAATTTCAGACTTGAATTAGCGGACTGCCAAATCTTTCACTATGCACAAGTTTCTTTTTCAGGTTCTCTCAAAACCAACTATTCTGACTTTGAGTAATTTTGTAAGACTGTGGTGTAGATAGATAACCACAATGGACTACGTGTTCAACAACAGAACTAGTGATTTGGTTGCACTTCCGTTCGAATAGCTATGCAGAGTATTATTCGCATATGCTCATAGAAAGATTACGCTTGTAAGGCCAATCAGTATAAGATTTCCACTAAACCAAATAAACTAGTAGATACATATTGATCTGACCGAAATCGGGAATTTATACATAACACATTCTTAGATCAGGTGTCAGCTAGGGAAAACAATCCATACAGTTGTAGAACGATTGATTGAGGTGGTTTAATTTGTTCATAGAGGCCCCCACCAATGAAATTCTGTGGTTTTTGTTAACTTCAGTCCTATTTGTTCAGTAGCATCTTTCTGAATTGTTTCTGTCAACAGCTTTTTGTTATTAGATAGAACAAAGGGTACCTTGAAATGTAGTCATGATGATTCGTCAGAGAAACCCGATCCTGCGTTGCTGTCTATTGCCCCTCGTGGAGCATAGGACACCCACCAGGATTTTCCAACCTACTCTGTCCTGGGCTTTCCTTTCTAGTTGTTCCTGGAGGAAGAAGCGCTGTAAGTGGATTGGGCACACTTTGAGGAAATCACTCAATTGTGTCACAAGACAAGCCCTCACATGGAATCCTGAAGGTCAAAGGAGAAGAGGAAGACCAAAAAACACATTACGCCGAGAAATAGAGACAGACATGAGAAGAATGAACAAGAACTGGAAAGAACTAGAAAAGAAGGCCCAGGACAGAGTGGGTTGAAGAAAGCTGGTCGGCGGCCTATGCTCCATTGGGAGTAACAGGCGTAACTAAGTAAGTAATTGGAATTGTGATTTACTGAGGAGGTTGGAATCTTTAGATATTGTATAAATTATTACTTTGAAAAGATAACATATTACAAAATCAATGCAAATAATTCTAAATAAATATGTTCTCATGTGATTAAAAAAGTAAGTGGATTTTTGCATTACCTATCTACAAAGGTCGGTAAATGATTAATTCAGGATATTATTTCTCCATCTCAGGCCGAACTGACACGAATTGAACGGTCAATGGTATTTGATAAGTACGATATCATTTTTAAACTTTAGTGAACATCGATGATTCTTTACGATTATTACCCTTCAACTCGTAGGTTTTATTATAAGTATAACATCTCACAAGTCTACGAGTCGGAATCCAATTTTAGTTCGTTAACGAATATAAATAACAAACTTGTAAATTTATTCAGATCACGAACCGATTAAAGGTAGACAATCATTTAAAACATTGAGGCACTGGACAACCGTTTCTTCCTACTATGAAGTTCCTCAGCAGTGATCTTTTACGAATGCACAGCTAGAAATTGAACCCAGGATCCCTGGTTCGTGATTTCAATTGAATTCAAAAATATCCATAACCCGATGCTGACAAACTTTTACTTACCAGAGATTAAATCTGTAGTAGATTTCTTGATGCTTAAGAGCAATACTGTAAGCTGTGGAGACGACTAAGTGGAGAAAGAGTTATTTTATCTAACCACCGATGATACTGTATGACAGCTAAGCTATGTTAAAAAACTGATGGAAATGGGAGACTTGAGTCACTAGATTCAGAATCAATGTCTAAATAAATACTTATACTCCACGCATACTAAAAGTCAAATAAGTTTCTAGTGAAGTTTTCGATACAGAGTACTGAGGAAACCCAACAATTTATAAAACAACTACACAGTATTCTTTTAATAACACTGTCTATCTGGAGTGTTTTATTGTTTATTTAAACACATTATTTTATTTCAACATATAAACATTGGTACAAGAAGGCATCAAATAGATATGCGTCACATAAATCATCCGACTTGTGTGAGGGACGGGATACTGCTTGGGTACCCAGACCAAAGCAGGTAGTTTTTTTTAAGGGAACCACACCCGGAGCCTTTGACCTGAAGGTCTAATCCACAAGGCAGTGGACCAACATCAGGAGATGCAGTCCCATGGTAGCCGGTGACCAACGATTGATTCGTACACCATCTGTTCCTTCAGAATCCTGTAGCCATATTGTGCACCACTGGTTTGGAATCAGAGTTTTCCAATTCCCCTAGATGGACTTTCCGTCTCCATCAACCCGGTTAAAGCGCCGGACGTTCGCTTTTCGTCCTTTCAATTTCGTAGACAATACTGTAGCCACGATAAGGCAGTGAGTAGGACTTTCCTGTCAGTGGTTGTATTCAACTGGCCATGTGAGAGTATTTCGAGAGGGAGAGCTAACTCTTCCCACTCTCTGCCGTACCAGGGTATTTGTGTCATTTCAATCAATAACATAAACCGACATTTCGAATAATTTAGATAAATCTAAATAAATAAATTTTTTAATAGTTAAATTCATGAGTCAATAAAGATGGACCACCATAAAAAAACTGAAAGCAATGGATGGCTGTTCTGTCCTAGTATGAGACTCCTCAGCAATGCGCACCCACGATCCCGCTCGCGAGATTCGAACCCAGAATCTATCAGTCTCATACGCGAGACCGGGTTTTCCATGGTAGTCTAGCTTTAATTAACTCATGAATTCAACTGTTAAATTACTAAAATCTCTACAAAACCCCCCTTCTGAAAATAATTTTTTCTATAAAACATCTCTTCATGGTAAGCAGAGATGAAAAGCGCCTAGCAGTAAAATCCAGGAAGCGCGTTTCGTCCTATTTTTCGGGACTCGTCAGCTGGATGTACCAGAGTTGATGTTCACTCTGTGACTCGAGCCCAGTACGTTTCGCTTCGAACGCCATCGCGTTATCCACTCGGCCATTGAGAAAGTGGCTATCAGGACTCAGTGGCCGAGTGGATAACACGATGGCGTTAGAAGCGAAACGTACTGGATCCGAGTCCCAGAGTGAACATCTCTTCAGTGTATTGTCAATTATCTTTGTATAAACATATTTCTATCTGAAATTGTCCTTAATGTCTATTTATATGATAGATAATAACTAATCAGAATAAAAATAACCTTTATAACAAACAATATTGATTATTAAACTAGTTTAACATTGAATCTAAGTGTTCAATAGTTCAATGGAATTGTTTATCTCTCTCTCTCTCTCATTCATTTGACTAGAAAAAACTTATGTATACAGTTAAGCTGTAATGTAATGATGAGGCTTACGAATCTATATTTTTTTTAGAAAAAAATGTAGAAAATCTAATTAATTTTGTAAATACTTTTGTTAACAGACATTATTGATTTACAAATTGTAATTGATCAGCAATTGTTAGTAATAATATGGTGTTTCTAGGACGGATAACAATGAGATAATTTTTATGTATAGTTGAAATCATGGGTCAATTGAAGCTAGACCACCGTAGAAAACCTGGAATCACTGAACGGTCGTTTCGTCCTATTGTGGGACTCCTTAATAGTGCACATCCACGATCCCGCCTCACGAGCGAGATTCGAACCCAGGACCTATCAGTCTCGCGCCAGAGCACTTAACCGATAGACCACTGAACCGGTTGGCATCCAACGGTGTTAATGTGTAACTTCAATCAATCTACGAAGTTGAGGAACCATTCACCAATGTCTTCAATGAGTTGATATCTCTCAACAGACCTGGTTGAACTCAACTGGTTACTAAGATAATTATTGAAGGAGCATAACTGTATCTTAGTTCTGTATACCAAAATATGTAGAACAGAAGTCATATTTTTTTTAGGATTTCATAAGTTTTATTAAGGATGACAAAAGTTTTACATATCTCACTGATAGCTATTATTGAAAGAAAAGAATCATGTGAGTGGACTGCCCCCAAATCCCCTGGTACGGCGGAGAGTGGGAAGAGTTAGCTCTCCCTCTCGAAATACTCTCACATGGCCAGTTGAATACAACCACTGACAGGAAAGTCCTACTCACTGCCTTATCGTGGCTACAGTATTGTCTACGAAATTGAGAGGACGACAAGCGAACGTCCGGCGCTTTAACCGGGTTGGTGGAGACGGAAAGTCCATCTAGGGGAATTGGAAAACTCTGATTCCAAACCAGTGGTGCACAATATGGCTACAGGATTCTGAAGGAACAGATGGTGTACGAATCAATCGTTGGTCACCGGCTACCATGGGACTGCATCTCCTGATGTTGGTCCACTGTCTTGTGGATTAGACCTTCAGGTCAAAGGCTCCGGGTGTGGTTCTTTTAAAAAAACTACCTGCTTTGGTCTGGGTACCCGAGCAGTATCCCGTCCCTCACACAAGTCGGATGATTTATGTGACGCATATCTATTTGATGCCTTCTTGTACCAATGTTTATATGTTGAAATGAAATTATAAATAAAAGCCACCTAACCATTTAAAAGTTTTGATAAAAATAAACCGAAGAAACTAATCCATTGAAATTCCAGATTAAAACATATCAGATCAATCACACATGGTTGTGTGTACTTGCATTGAACATGTAGTGATTTTGCTTCGCTAATCGATCACCTCGATAACCGTTATAATATAAATCTCAACGGTGTTTGAAATCAGAAGTCAATGAGAAGCGGTAACTACAGTTTATTAGCGAATAGCGCTGATCACAAAGCTATAAGCATGTCAAGAAAATTTGAACCGGAGGGGCGAATAAGTATATGAGAGCAATTCCATAGACAAATTTATGGTCAAACTGCATAAGGCTGCAGTAAGGCAAAAGCTAATAATAGGATTGGAATACATATGTTCATGGGGTGGAGGATGAATTATCGAGTGATATTTAAGAGATCAACATTTTAGCTCGAGTCTGTCATGTGCTCTAGTGATCATAACGGTACAAAGACATATGCGAATTGTTACTGTTCGAATAATATTTTCTGTTAAGTAAGTTAACAAAAGGGCTTAACCAGAATTAGCCATAATCGAAATTGGTTGTAGGACAGTTGCTATTATCACATCGATTTTTCTGCTTTTCTTTCCTATAACTTTTAGGTAAATAAATGTATTTGAACAACAAAAGGTTACATGTCAAACATAATTGTACTGAATATTCATTGTTAGATGAATCAAAGTAATTTAAAAAGAAACACGTCACTTAATAACTTTTGATGTAGGATATGAACTTACTTACTTACGCCTGTTACCCCTTGTGAAGGAGCATAGGCCGCTCACCAGCATTCTCCATCCAACTCTGTTCTGAGCCTTCCTTTCCAGTTGCTATTCATCCTTTTCATATCGGCTTCTATTTCTCGGCGTAGTGTGTTCTTTGGCCTTCCTCTTTTCCGCTTCCCTTCACCATCCCAAGTTAGGCATTGCCTTGTAATGAACGTTGATGATTTCCTTAATGTATGTCCTATCCACTTCCAACGTCTTTTCTGAATTTCCTCTTCAGCTGGAAGCTGGTTTGTCCTCTCCCATAAAACTCAATTGCCGATAGTATCCGGCCAGTGAATGTTGAGTATTTTGCTTAGACAACTGTTTATAAATACTTGTACCACCTTGAAGATGGATGTAGTAGTTCTCCACGTTTCAGCTCCGTACAGTAGAACTGATTGTCTTGACGTTCGTATTGAAGATTCTCACTTTGAAGTTAGTTGAAAGTTGTTTTGAGTTCCATATGTTCTACAATTGTAGAAATGCTGTACTTGCTTTGCCAATCCTCGCCTTTACATCTGCATCCGATCCTCCTTGTTTATCAACGATTCTTCCCAGGTACATGAATGCTTCCACCTCTTCCAGAGTTTCGCCATCAAGTGTGTTGCCGTTCATTGTGAGAGATTTTTCTTTCCATCATGAAAGTTGATATTACAACTTACTATTAAAATTATCAGTCTATACAAGATTTATAGGACGAAACGGTCATCCAGTGCTTCCAGGTTTACCTTGGTGGTCTAGCTTCAATTGACTCATGATTTCAACTATGAAAAATTATCGGGTTTTATTGAAATGGTAAATTCATCAGTAAAATATTAATAGATAGGAAGAGATAAGCTAATGACATTGATTAATGTACTCACTTCTGTAAATGCTTATTGTTGTTTTCTGTGTAACTAGCAGTGGAATAAAAGGTGCATATTTCGTCTTGTTTGGGACTTGTCATATGAATATACCCTCATCCCAGTTTTGGTGTTCATTTTTCGGGATTCGAAGCTACTACCTCTTGCTTCAAACACTTAATAAGTTATAGAATGAATCGAGATAACTGCTCTCTTTTTCAATGTGTACTGACTAATTAAAATCCTGAACACCAACAGAGGGGAATTACAAAACACCATTCATTCAATACTGTTAATAATAAACTATTTAACTATTTGGAGATTTGGAACATTGATATATGTGATGCTGCATTAACAATACTTTCATAATTTCCTTTAAACTCCCTTGAATGTATCAGTAAAACGTTCTGCTCAGTCATTCAGTAATGAATATGATGAAAGAATTTTGTCCCAACTGATTTATTATTTTGATAAAGACGATGAACCGATTGATGTTAGACCACCATTGAGCACTGGTTGGCCATTTCGTCCTGTTGTGGGACTTTTCAGCAGGGCTCATCTACGACCCCGCTTGCAGGACAGGAACCCAGGGCCTTCGGTCTCGCGCGCGAACACCTAATCTCTGGACCACTGTTTCGGCATCCAACGGTGATTATGTCTAACCTCAATCACCATGGTGGTCTAACATAAATCTGTTCATGATCTCAATCAAAAACATAATAATCTCCACAATCTCTTTTTGCTGATTCAGTATAATCTGTAGTCTGTCCACGCTGCGCAGAAACAAGATAGTTTCTTTAGTTCTAATGCTGCAAGAAAACACGCTACTTCTCTTTAAAAATCCGTTTATTGTTACTAGGTGAATTTTAAAGCAATTAATCTCTTTGATAAATTTCGATAGTGTAATAAAAAGACAAAGATTATCAGAATTATGTGATGCCTATTGTAAAAGAACTTCCTGAAAAATGCACATGAATACATTGAATGTTCTTTAAAAAAAGTTAGTAACATCAGTTCTCACAGACTTATCGAGATGATTGTCTATTGAGATAATTTCTTCATTCATATTTCTGTTTTCCTAATGCTTTCCAATCGAGGCATTAAACTATATTTCTATGAAACATATAATTTGGATAAACATGATGGTGTTTTTATTATTCAGTTAAGAGATATCATGTAACCCATTTTGACAGACAATGATATATGTTTATATTTATTTAAACACATAAATATTGGTACAAGGAAGCACCAGATAAATAGGCGCCTCACAAATCTCATTCGATTTGTGCGAGGGCTGTGATACTGCCCAGGTGCCCAAACCAAAACAGGTGGTTTTCTTAGGGGGCCACACCCCGAGCCTTTGACCTTAAGATCTGATCCACAAGGCAGTGGAGCATCGTGAGGAGATGCAGTTCCATGGTAGCCGGTGACCAACGATTGATTGATACGCCATTTGTTCCCTCAGGATAATGGAGCCCATGTGCACTATTGGTTTGGAATCAGAGTTCTCCAACTTCCCTAGGTGGACTCTCCGTGTCCACCAACCCGGTTAAAGTGTCGGACATTCGCTTTTCGTCCTCTCAATTTCGTAAACAACAGTAATGCCACTGTGGGAAGGCAGTGAGTAGGACTTTCCTGGCAGAGGCTATATATCGTGGCCATGTGGGAGCATTTCAAGGGGGAGAGCAAACTCTTCCCATTCTCGGCCGCATCAGGGCACTTGGGGCGATGGTACATGAATGTTGATTGCATCAAATAATATATCTTGTGAGAACTGGGATTACCAGTTTTCATGTCAAAAGTTTGGTAATCTTTTAAGTAAAGTGTCAATTTCATAGAAAGTGACCAAATAAGAAATAAGAAATAGATCAACAAATTAGAAGTTCCCACATTTAAAATTTGGCTTCATACTGATAAACAGTTTAAATAATCTCTTCTTGGATAATCTATTCTGTTGTTTAACACATTAATTTAAATCACTCAAAAACTTTTCCATCGTTACAACAAGTTATTTAAAATTATACATCAAGATAAGTGAAGATGTATAATGGCTAGCAGTGGAATCCAGGACGCGCGTTTCGTCCTGTTTGGGACTCTTCAGCCGGATGTACCTGCATCTCAGAGTTGATGTTCACTCTAGGATTCGAACCCAGTACCTTTAGCTTCAAACGCCATCGCGTTATCCACTCAGCTACTGAGTGCTGATAGCCACTTGCTTGTGCAATGGGGTTTCCCATTGATGCATAGCTGAGTGGGTAACGCGATGACTTTTGGAGCGAAAGGTACTTGGTTCGAATCCTAGAGTGAACATCAACTCTGAGATGCAGGTACATCCAGCTGATGAGTCCCAAACAGGACGAAACGCGTATCCTGGATTCCACTGCTAGTCACTATCCATCTTTGCTTATAATGCTTGTAAATTAAGGCAATATCGAGGCATAGTATGCACATATGCGGTCCTAAACATCAATGGGAAGATCCAAGCAAACGATACTAAGTGAATTTATGCATCAAGAGTTGTGGTTTTGTAATTACTGACCATATTTTGTCTTCTGAAATTTCTGTAGTTCGGTGAGGCATAACATACTGAAGGGTTATTCATTTTTATTCAGCATAATCTACTGTTTATTATTGTATTGACCCAGTCAATCATATCAGTTTCACTTAAATTACTAACCTTCAACAGAATGAAAAACGAATTATTTCTCTTAATTCTTCGAAATAGATTGCTAACCAGATTTTATCTAAATCTAATAACTATCCTGTTAACAAGAGCAGCAACGACACTCTTAGGATCAATCTTGTATAAAACCACCACAATTCTCTAACAGAATCCTTTCTCATAGTTGTTGTTACAAATTAAGATGAAAGCTTTTAACTATTCGGAATAAAATTAATTTTCTTGAAGCACGTTTTTACACTTACGAACCTCGAAGATCTATCTCAAAGAAAAGCGATATAATTTAGACCGTACAGAAGACTGTATCCAATTAAACGATAGTATAATGATTATAAGAATATCGATGTTTTTTTAAACCCAAGTTATTATTCCAGTAATTTTAAACAAATATAATATCGAGTCTCATTAATGCTATGCAACTCTTTTTGCAAAGGCTCATATTGGGCGTCTTGGCAGATTATATGGCTTAGTTTCTAAAGTGAATGACTAATATGTGATAAGGAGTATAAAAATGAAAAAAAGATTTCCAACAATCAAATTTAAACTACACTGAATTGACCCGATGATAATTTGTCATGGGGATAAGATTTTAATGGTATTGAGCTGTAAACTTGATCGATGACTCAGATAGAAACGAAACCTATCTAATAACTTGCTCAGATTATGATTGATTACAAAGTAAAACAAACAAATGTTGAAATATGGAACAACTACCAACCGATCATAGAATAGTCCATGAAATCAAGGTATTTTCTCATAAGAAGATATAAAGCACAAAACGATATGATAAAGAAATATTCAGCAAACTAAAAGTAATTAATAAGTCATTGAGAGCAAAGTTCAAAGAATAGCCGATTGGCCTTCAGTTGTGTGGTAATGCTAAGTGGAATCTTCCAATTCTGTATAAACCAAACGAACACAAACGAGTAAGGAATAAATATTGGTTCGATAAAAGATATATGCATGTAGTTACGCAATTCTTAAAATCTTGGAAAAAAGACACCTGACTTATTTAGATGTAGAGGTTTTCAACGAAAAAGCACACTGAAAATCCGTCCAGAAATCAAATACAGGACCTTCAAAGTGAACAGTCCCCACAAATCTTTGACATGAATAGGCTATTTATTCGTGTGAATTAATTCAACACCATATGTATCATACCAGACAGACAGATCTATTCAACAAAATAAATGCCTCATATCTGATTGATCCCGGTGGTGCGATCGTGGAGGTGCACTGCTAAACAGTCCCATACTAGAAAGAAATAGCTGTCCAGTGCCTTAGAGTTTTTAATAGTGGTCTAGCTAAG